CTTATCACAGGATTTCAATTACAAAAAGATGAGACAGAATAGAAGAAACATATGGCAAAAAGAAGAGAGGAGGCTTATGTTTATATATTAACAGCCGCTGGTCCAGAGATATAACTATACTAAAGAAATTCTGTGATGTGGACTTAGAGACATTAATTATCAATTGCAAACCATTCTATTCTCCATGAGAGTTCTCCCCATTTCTCCTAATTGCTGTGTATGTTCCTCCACAAGCTTGTGTAAATAATTCATTATGAACTCTAGCTGACGAGATTATGTGGGCTGAAGTTAAATACCCAGATTCATTTCAAATTATTTTAGGAGATCTAAATAAAGCAAACTTAAGGAAAGAGCTACCAAAATATTTTCAGCATGTCAATTGTCTCACCAGAGGGAAAATACTTTAGACAATTGCTACACAACATTAAAAGATGCTTATTGGTCTACCATAGACATCTGATCACTGCATGATTCACCTTGTACCTGCTTACAGACAAAGACTTAAAACCATGAAACAAACAATTAATTCAGTCAAGACATGGACTGAGGAGGCAAAACTAAAGCCACAGGCTTGCCTTGAACACACTGATTGGAATGTGTTTGAATATACCTCTGCAGACTTGGATGAACTCACAGATACTGTAACATCATATGTCAGTTTTTGTGAAGACCTATGTGTGCTGACTAGAAACCTGACAATATACCTTGGTTCACAGCTAAACTTAAGAAACTACGTTGTACCAAAGAGGAAGCCTATAGAAAAGGTGATAGAATACTAAGGCCAGAAACATATTAATGAGGGAGATCAGAGCAGTGAAAAGAAGCTACTCTGAAAAGCTAAGATATCAGTTCTCAACAAATGAACTAGCAAACATGTGGAAAACTCTAAAAAATATCACTGGTTACAGCAAACCTCCTTTCCATGCTGAAGGAAACAAACAACTGGCAGATGATCTGAATGTGTTTTACAGTAGGTTTGAGAGGAAACTACTGCCACCCATCTCCACAGTCCCCATCTCAGGCACACCAACAACAGCCAAGCCTCCTGCAACCTACTCCATTCCATTGGGCCCACCACCTCTGGTGATACAGAGAACAAGGTACAAGGTCTATTTCACAGACAAAAGCCAGGAAAAGCATGAGGCCCAAACAAGATAACTTGTTCTTGCTTAAAAGCTTGTGCTGACTAACTGACCCTCATCTTCACTCGCATCTTTCATAAATGTTCCTTCTTGCTTCAAATGCTTTACTATCATCCCAGTGCCAAAGAAACCTTCCATCAAGGAACTGAATGACTTCAGACTGGTTTCTCTAACATCTGTAGTTATGAAGATCTTTGAACAACTAGTGCTGGCCCACCTGAAAACAATCATGGATCCACTGTTAGCTTCCTAACAGACAGGAAGCAGCAGGTGAAGCTAGACATAATCACACCATATATCTGTACAATTAGCATAGGAGCCCCCCCAGGGCTGTATGCTCTCTCCTCTTTTATCTTATATACCAATGACTGCATCTCAAATGATCCCTCTGTTAAAATACTGAACTTTGCAGATGATACAACAGTGATTGGTCTCATTCAAGACAACAAATCCACATACAGATGGGAGGTTGTACAACTTGCCTTGTGGTGCAACCAGAACAATCTTGAACTAAATACACTCAAAAACATAGAAATGGTGGTAGATTTCAGGAAAAAACCTCTTTTACTACCACCTCTTACAATACTAGACAACACAGTATCAACAGTAGAGACCTTCAAGTTTCTAAGTTCTATCATATCTCAAGACTTAAAATGGACATCTAACATCAAAAACATCATCAAAAAAGCAGAACAAAGAATGTTCTTTCTGCATCAACTCAGGAAGCTCAAACTGCCCCAAAAACTGCTGATTCAGTTCTACAGAGGAATTATTGAGTCTATCATCTGCACCTCTATAACTGTCTGGTTTGGCTCTGCAACCAAACAAGACAGACACAACTTCAACGGATAATTGGAACTGCAGAAAAAACATATCCACAGACACCCCTCCCACCCTGCATCCTGGACATAAATTATTTCAACTTTTACTCTCAAAATGACACTATAGGGCACTGCACACCAGAACAACTAGACACAAGAACAGTTTCCCCCCGAATGCGATCATTCTGCTAAGTAACTAATTCCCATATCACTGTCAAACTATTTAGTAACACTGTATTACTATTATTCTTCTCATCCTTCCTATTACCTGTCTCTTCCAACTTATAACTATAACTGTGTTGCTTGTATCTTTATAATTTATATTGTTTATTTGTTCCATAGTATGATTTGATTGCTTATTAGTAACCTATGACTATCACTTAAGTGTTGTATCTTATGATTCTTGATGAATGTATTTAATTTTTTCTTTATGTACACCGAGAACTTATGCACCAAAGATAAATTCCTTGTGTGTCCAATTACACTTGGCCACTAAAGAATTCTGTTCTATTCTATATATTATAAACAATCAGCTAAGGTGATGGTAAGGCACTAGGCAGGGATGTTCACTATCCCCTCTGCTATTTATACTGACTCTGGAAGTATTAGTCAGAAATATTTGACAAGATGAAGAAAAAAAAGGAGTAGAAATAAAAAAGAGAAATATAAGCTACAGGCATTTGCAGATGGCTTGGTCTTTATATTAGAAGACCTATTAGAAGCTGGACCAAAGTTAATTAGAAAGATAGAAGAATATAGGGAAGTTGCTGGATTGAAAATAAACCAAGATAAGATTTTAGTTAAAAATCTCATTAATACACAAAAAAGAGTGTTGATGGAAAGAATTGAAATGCAGATAATCAAAAAAGTGAATTATCTAGGAATACAGCTAACAGCAAAATGTGCAACCATTAAAGAGGACAATTATAGGAAACTGATGCAACAAATTAAACTAGATTTGGAGAAATTTAAAGATGTGCAACTGTCATTAACAGGAAGAATGGCTACCATAAATATGAATATTTTACCAAGACTATTATATTTATTCCGAACAATTCCAATAAAATTGGGAGGAAATATTTTGAAGAATTAAATAAAATAATATTAAGATATATTTGGCTAGGGAAAAAAGCAAGAATAGGTTTGAAAATGTTGCAAGACTCCAAAAAAAGAGAGGGGGTTTTGGGCTGCCAGATTGGGAATTGTACTACCAGGCCTCAGTATTTACAGGGGTGAAAGAATGGATCAATTTGAGGCATAAAAGACTATTAACTCTAGAAGCCTTCAACTAGCTTGGCCTGCTTTTTAATGGTATGAAAAGAGTAAGATACATAGTTATTTTCAAAGACATTATGTTAAAAATGCATTGTTACCAATATGGCTTAAAATTAAAGAACACTACTTAAAAATACCAGTCTGGCTTTCCACAATGGAAGCATTGATCATCCTAATGTTATTAATATGGGAAAAAAATGTAAGATATAAATATATTTTGAATGAAAAAAAGAATTAAAAACCAAGCAGGAACTTAGCAGTCAAGAGATGGACATTGCATGGTGGCCACAATTGCAGATATAATCTCGATATGAGAAAGATACTAAAATGTATGGTTTTAATAAAGAATTAACAGAATTGGACCAGATAACTGGAACAGATAAAAAATTGATAAAGAAAATATATTGTTATTTATTAGGTATTAAACTTGAAAGTGAGAAGGTAAAGGAGACAATGATTGTTTGGGCTAAAAATTTTGAATATGTAAATGGGAGAAATTGCGGAATAGAAATGTTAAATTGATTAACCGCATATAAAGAAAATTTGTATAAAATGTTCTATAGATGGCATTTTGTACCAACAAGACTGGCAAAAATGTATAAGGATAGATCTGCTAAATATTGGATGTATGGTTCATATTACCATATATGGTGGACATGTCCAAAAGCCAAAAAATATTGGACAAAAATACACACCTGGTCGGTAAAATAGTATATAGACATGAAACCAGAAATATTTTTATTGGGCATTCTGCCAGAAAAATATGATAAAGGGACTATATACTTGATTTTACATGTACTAACTAGAATTGTATATGCTCAACAATGGAAGTGTGATGAGATCCCGACAGATGATAATATAATTATGAAAATGCTAGAAAGTGCAGAAATGGGTAGACTAATGCTTATTATTAAGGACAAAGAAGAAACTAAATACTTTTTGACATGGGACTTATTTTATCAATGGTTAGACAAAAAAACAGAAGTTAGAAAGATAGGGACACAAAAAGGATAAATGTTAAAATGGAAATCTGTTAAAATGAAAATGCTAAATATTATTGTTATTACAGTATTAATGTTATTATGATCAATGTTATTGTAAACACTTTGATTACAATCGCCTAAAAACAATGGTACCCAGACAACAATATATTATACAATTAAAGCAAATAAAACTTTGGGGGAAAAGTAATATAAATGCTCAGCTAGAAACTAATACTCTCTTACTGAGTTGTTTATGTAATATTGTTAAACTGCCAGCATCTCTTGGTTATACAATATCCCTTACTGATTGGGCAAATCATACGGTTATGGCTCCAAATAAAATAAAATAAAATCCTAAACCTATGATGATTAAGAAAATGAGCAATAAAATGAGTAAACATGCAGGAAATTTTATTTTGTATCCTTCTGCCACTTCTATATGAAAAAAGGAAATGTTCAGCACACCCTGAGTGATAATCGTGTTACTAGTATGAAAGCGCAAAACTATCCTCTTTCAGTTCTCTAAATTATTCAATTGGATTCTCTGTTCAAATTTTGTTTTTCTAAAATTTCTAAAATGGGTAATTCCATTTATAAGGTCATAGTACACTATCAATAGTATCAATAGCGTTAATATACTTAATCACTACAGTGCTCTGTTACTTTAAAGTTAACACAAATACCCAACTAAGTGATTCATCTACCAGTCTTGGAGCACCTAAGTGAGAAATGAATTTGCCAGTAAATTCACGGTTCCATGAAAAGACAGATGCACTTACCCTTCTGTAGATGCTGTTTTGACTCTCCTCCTGTTGGTTTTGACTCTACTTGTTAGGAATGATAGTCACCTAACAGTTGGGTTGGCAATATATAAACCAGGATAGTTATTTAATACTGTTGTATCTTTAAGGGAGTGCTGTAATTGTGATTGGCTGAAGTTCCTCCAACGGTTATAAGATGGAGCTAGAAACCTGGTTTGTTCTCTTCTTCCATTTCCCTATTGCCTTTTACCTGATTGGCGTTCTGCTTGGATTGCTGTGAGTCTTGCAAACTGTTAGCAAACTCTGTTTACTGAACTTTGTTTATGATACTGGACTTCATTTTTTGGATTATACCTGGACTGATTGTATTGAATACTACCTGCTTTCACCGTGTATGATTTGGACTGTTTGTTGGACTTTGTTTACCCATTTACTGGAAGTAAAACCTACATTTTACTATTCAGTGTATCTGTATGCTGGTTGTGTGTTATTTCTCACCACTCTCACTACATTTCCCTGAGTGCACTCATTCTCCTAACGGGGAATACCTCAACACTACTCCCTTTTCCATCTCAGTTACATTTTTTCCTTGAGAAGTTCCATGTTTGTTACTGCCAGTTGGGCGACTCCCATTTAGGTTACTTTTATTGATTTCAGTGCTCTTACCATCTCCTGAGAAACTCTCTTTATTCCCTTGTTTACTTTTCTCTGACTTGGTAAAAATGTTAACCTCAGCTGTCTTTTTTCCTTCATTTCCTTCTGTTTTCTTGTCATCTGTACCCTTTTGAGAATTCTCCTCTGCTTCTTTCTTTTCTTTTTCTTCTGCATCCTCAGCAAAAACAAAAGATAAAACAATGGGGATAGGGAAGGGGAGCATAAAAATGATTAGTGGAATTGTCAAAATGTTAAATATCTATTGTTTTTAGTTGCTGGAAATGACATAAAGCCTAAAAAAATTAAGAAATGCTACTTTCATTTAGCTGAAGTCTACTGCTTGCTTCTTAAAACTAAGTTGGCTAATGCTATTTTTGCTCATCATACATGAAGATATATGAACTATTAACCATCACAGCCACATTTTGCACGCCATTCACCTCTTTGCAATATGTATAATTTAGGAAATATATATATCAGTTTTAGTTATTCATGAAAAATAAGTGAAACTTCTACATTCAGAGGTTGAATATTAAATGTTAAAGAAATATGCCAAGAACAATTATTGCAGATATTTATCTCCAGGAAACTAACCATAATTAAAACTAACAAAACCAAAATAATCCAAATAAAAATAAGTGGAATAACATGAATGCAGTGCTGTCAAGATCCTCAAAAATCCTACAACCATGTAGCTGAGGTAATCTAATATTTTAGCCTAATGCCTGAGGGAGTAACCATATTTCTACAGCTTCCCAGAGCACCAGCACCATTAGGTAATCTGCATATAGCCTTCCATCCTTCCAAGGTCAGTAAAATGACCATATTGTTGGGGACAATATGCTGACTATGTAAACTGCTTAGAAAGGGCTTTAAAGCATTGTGAAACAGTATATTAGTCTAAATGCTATTGCTACATATGGACAGAATGGTGTTCCATAAGGAAGATGCTGCAACAATTACGTCAGTTGGAACCCATTAGATCATCAGGGGTGCCAAATGGATTGCAGGTTGCATCAATTGTGATTGTCCTCTGGAGGCCAGGGTACGGGTGGTGGGTCACGGCCAATTGGGCAAGACTCAAGGGGTATGGCCAGCTTGGTGTCACTCGCGTGGGCCAGGCAGTGTTGAGAGGAGAGAATCCTTCTCCAGCAAGTGGGGCGGTAGGCGGTGGGCTCATCTCACCGGAGGTGAGTTAAGGTGACTCAGGGGTTGGGGGAGGGGATATGCTGTCATGAGGCAATGCAAAGGGTGGAGTGGCTGGTGCAGGAAACCATCACCCATTGCTTGCTCCATTTATGCATGTGGGCCAATGTTTTCTAGCCCCAACTGGTACATTCTGCAGCTCTGGAGACAGCTCCACTGGGCTTGCCATCCCAGCAGCACACACAATGGCATCAGCAGCAGGCGGGGGCTAGAGGGAGGCATGTGGTACAGACTGCTGGACGTGTTTACTCCATCCCACTGTCTGTTTTGGCTTGCAACTGGAAAGCAGGTTGCTGCTGGTCATCTTCTCTCAGCTCCCCTATGGATCTTGCCCTTGGCCTGCACATGAGCATATTTCCCTCGCATACCCGATGAATGTCATCCCCCTCTCAGGCTGCTACTGCCACACCTCAGCAGACCTGCTGCCACTGCCACTCAACAGCTCTCGGAGGGTCCTGAGCCCCAGCTGCTCACTCAAGGGACTCAGAGAAGGCCATGGAGAAGCAGGGAGAAGGAGTCACCGGTACTGGTGTGACCGCCACTGAAAGCCTGCAGACAGAGGCAATACTGGTGGAGTTTGCCCTCCCAGCGGTGACCCAGCTGAAGGTCCAGATGGAGGTACCTGCCACTGAGGACTTATATCGGGCTGAAGAGGACCTCAGGCACCAGGGCTCTGTCTGGGGCTGGAAATGAAGTTCCCATTGATATTCATGTGGGAATTAGTCATCTTTGCCCCACACTGGAGGATGAGGGGACCTTTCAAGCTAGAAAAATCCAGGGCATTACAGCTTTCCCCGGTCAGATGGTTGAGAACCTGCAGGAGAGGTTTAACTGGATGAGCATGGAGGGGAGGGGACAGGCATGTAGGTTCAAACCACATGGAGTGATCCTGAGATAAGTTACCCTAAGTTTCCCACCTTGCTGTGGTCTGGTTCTAGTTGTAGTGCCTCAGTTGTAGTGCCACTTCCTTGGTGCCATTAGTGCAGTCAAACTCAGGCCCACCATGAAGCCCGCCATGCTGCCATTGGGTGATGAGCTCACCCAGCCACTCACATAACCCTTCAGGATGGCAAGGACCCCACCATGAACATACTACCCCAGAGTCAGCTGGGTCCTGTGACACTGGCCCCCAGATTGGGCACCAGCACAACTTCCTCCTTCTTCTCACCCAGCCACCCCTTCCCCAATGAAAGACACCTTCAACGGGGACCCATAGAACTTGCATTCTTCCTAAACCAGATGTGGGCTTATATAAATGACCATGCAGTGGACTACCCCAGTCACCAAGCAATGGTCTGTGCAGTGAATTTGGAGTGGTTAACCTAGCTCCATGACAAGGATGTGCCAGGGCGGGTGAATATCGACACCTTCCTATAAGAGCTGAGAGCTAGGTTCGAGGATGACTCCAAGATCCTGCAAACCAAAGCAGAAATCTGTGAGATTAAGCAAAGGAGCTGGCCCACCAAGGAGTATGTCCAAGAGTTCCAGAGAGTGGCTGGGAGAGGCTACTGGTGGTAACAGTGGCTGGAGAGGCTATTGGTCCACTTATACAAGGAGAGCTGGGCCATGAATTGCTGCATGCCTTTACCAAGGGGTCCCTGATCAGGTACAGAAATGGTATTGGATGGCAGTGGCAATAGACTTCAAGCTCAAGTGGTACAAAAATGTGGAACCATGGAGCAGAAGCCACAGGCCCACCCAGAGAAGCACCAGCTTGGGAGGTGATCAACCCCTGGCCAACATCTGATTTAGGAAGAATGCAATAATATACCTATTATTTTGTAAGCGATTGACAAATAAAATAAATAAATAAAATAAATGAATGGGCCCTCACCACGTGGTGGGAAGTGGGAGAGAGAAAGCTAAGGATGGGAATAGGTCCTCTCCCCACTCCTAGTGCTACCAAAGGAGAAGCTGTCCAGCATCCGAAGGACACTAAGCAAAGTGAGAGATCAAGAGCGACATCAGAACAATTCATAGGGATATCCCAGATTCCCAAGGAATAGCAGGACCTAGCAGAAGTTTTAAGTGAAGTGAAATGCAATACACTGCATCCCCCCCATTGCCCCACCAACTACTCAATAGAGATTGTGCCAGGGGCAAAACTGCCCAAACCAAAGTTGTACTCCATGACCCCTAGAGAAATGAAGGAAATAAGGAAGTACATCAATAAGAACCTGGTCAGGGGATTCATACAGCCAGTGAAATCAAGGGTAGCTGCATCAGTACTGTTCAAAGAGAAAAAAGATGGCACTATGAGGTGTGGATTTTAGAGGAAAACTAATGTATTTTCCATTTGAATTTTCCAGGAACTTTTCTGCAGTTGAGGGAGGAGGTCCAACTGTCAACTCTGAAGTGAACCTGGCTGAAGCCATCTTTTCCTATCTCATAGTTGCCATGAACTTTGAAAGGAAGAAGGGAGGGGGGGATGTAGATAGACCAGCTACCAGTCAAAACAAAAACAGAAAGTCTTTTTGTGGAAAACAAGGTCATCCCAATAGGTGGCAAGTGAAGGAGGGGAGTGACCACCCCCCCCCCAGCTATTTTCATTGTACAACGTGACCAGTGACACATGGGAAGGGAAATATTTGCTCTTTTAATTAGGGGGAAAACCATGGAGAGTTAGTTTTCACAAGCTGTGCCGATATGACGTATCCAATAAACATGTTGTTTGAGGAATCTACCTGCCTTAGAATTCTGCTTTTGGCAAATGCATTACTTGGAATGCAAGGAAACTGATTTAATAATACAGAGAAAAGAATTATCCACAGTACTCTTTTCCTAGCATTAAGAGGGTTGGCTTGAGTATCCATCAGGAAGTAGACAGTCTCCCCTTAGTCTTTCATTTCATGTCTTCTCCTATATCACTGCAAGAATGTGATATGGAAAGAAGTGACCAAGTAGTGTTCGCACATTTTAATTGTGGTTCACACAAAAATCTCACCAGAAACCTCCAAGTATCTTTAGGAACTTTTCCTTTGAATGCATGTTCACAAGCCTGTCTATGTTATGCATCATTTTGCTGAAAATTATTTTCCAGTACTGTTTTTGTTACTTTTGTTACCTTTGATTGCTTGGGCTTTCCACTTTTCTCGGTTTTGTTGCACTACTTCTGTCCAGGTGGCTTTAAAACATTTGAAGTCCACAGTGAGGATGGAAGAGTTGAATGAGGCACTTCCTTCTGACCCAGTGCTCTTGACACTTGATCTTTTCACTTCTGAGGGGCTAAGGCTATTCAGACTGGGATTGCATATACAATATTAATGGCATTTTAATTACTAAGAAATATTAAGTGATATTACCATTTTCTTCTCCCTTTCACTTTTTTTGATACGTGTGAATATTTCTTGCCAATTTTTTTAAGTTGGAATTCTTCCTACTTTACTATACTTTTCACTCCCCAAACCTTGAGAAATACTTTTAAACCCTTTTCATATCCACTCTTCTGTTTACAAATTAAAATAAGCACATGGTGAAATAAGAACTGCTCAGCATGATGTTACTGCAACGGAATCTCTGTGAATAGAGAGAAGAGCATAGGGGAAAAGACAGAAGTTCCCAATGGAAAAACAGTGTGCTCATAACTCTATTCCATTTTTAGTTGAATGACAGCCGAACTGGAAATCAGATGAACTGCTGTCATGGTGGGATCATAAAGGCATGGAGTTGATGATAAGGCAATCCAAACACTGCATATTCTGATTTACTCAGATTTTAATTAATTATTGAAGAGCCAATTGGCAAAGAAAAAAAGAGTCTGGGTTGCAGAAGGCATTTAGCCTTAAAAGTGATGCTTGTAGCTTGTAGTTTTGTCAAATTGTCAAATAGTTTTCATAATGAAAAGTGGGAAAATATCTCTAGATATACTGTCACATAAATTTGATACTATTCTAAATATTATATCTGTATTATAATTACAATTATATTATTTAGAATAATGTTCAATATCAACAGCAGATAATATATATTTGGTCCAGAAAATAATCTCAAAGAATTTATCATAATCATCCCAGGATATTTCTCTACTTCCAAATATTATTCTTGTAATGGTCTCATTAGCCTGGTCAACTTGGATAATTTCTTGATCATTTTATCACACATGACTTGAACACTCTTTCTTTACCCCAGAAAAATAAAATTTTAAACACAGATACACCCACACACCTTAAAGAGGGAGATTCTACTACAAATATACATGGTTACTGACCTGGATCGCCTAAATCCTGTCATACCAGAGTTAGAGGCTTCCTCTATGAGAGGTGTTACAATCTTCTCAGTCATATCAGTCAGCACAGTGAAAGTAGGTTCCACAATAAAATCAATAAAGCCTGGAAAAACACAGAACAGAAAACAAATGCAAGAAAATTGCCTAGTTAATATTATACTTCCTATAAGATAAATATACCAATACTTATAACAGCATGGTAAAATTGTCACTGTTACTACATGCTATTTCCTACTATATGAGAATTCCATAAATGGCCAAATAAAGCATTGGTAACAGTTCAACTTGCAATAGCTTGTTTTGTGTGGGTTTATTATTATAATTATTCACCGCACAGTCAGCCAGATGTTCAGACTGGGTTTGGCATTTTTGTCTACCTCTCGAGTCCTTACAAAGGATCTGGGATAGGCAAATCTGGATGTTTGATTGTGTTACAGATATCGCCACAGGATGGAAGCTGTTCCAAGTAAAGCTGCCTTCTGCAATAGACTGATGGCAAATTTGTCAATGCCTATAGTATTCAGGTGGTGCTCCAGTTGTTTTGGGACTGCACCCAAGGCACCTATTACTATTGGTATTACCCTTGCTTGCTTGCCTTTGTCATAGTCATTCTATTTCTATTTGCAGGTCTTTGTATTTTGTTATCTTCTCCAGTTCTTTCTCTTCTCTTCTGTTGTCTCCAGGCACTGCCACATCCACTATCCAGACTTTTTTTGTCTGTCTTATCGACAACTGTTAACTGTTATTATAGGCAGGTGCCTGTCTGTCTGGATTCTGAAGTCCCAGAGCAATTTAACCTTTTCATTTTCTACAACTTTTTCTATTTTATGGTCCCACTAGTTCTTGCTTATAAGCAAATGATATTTCTTGCGGATCTTCCAAAGCACCATTGTTGCTACTTTGTCATGCTGCTGCTTATAGTCAGTTTGTGCAATCTTCTTGTAGCAGCTTACCAGATGGTCCACTGTATCTTCAGCTTTTTTGCATAGGTGGCACTTACTGTCTGTTCCTTTCTTCTCTATTCTGACTTTGTATACATTTGTCCTTAAGGCTTGGTCTTGCACAGCCAAAATTAATCCCTTTCTTTAATTTTCCTTTTCTTAACCATTGCCAGGTCTTGTTATTATCTGCTTTCTCTGCTATTTTTTTTAATATACTGGCTATGTAGTGCTTTGTCTTCCTGTACCTCCATTCTGTTCTTCATTCGGTCTTTCTTATAGGCCAGTTTGGTCTCTCTGGTAGTCAGCAAGCCTTTCTGGCATATTACCTTCAGTGTATCTTCTTCATTGTCCTTCAGATATTCTTCCAAAGCACTTTTTCTTCTTCAACTATTTGATGTACTTGCAACATTCCACACCCACCTATTTGCCTTGGTAGGTAGAGTCTGTCAATGTTGCTGCAAGGATGAAGGGCATGATTCATTGTCATTATTTTTCTGGTCTTCCTATCCATTGCTTTTAATTCTGTTTGAGTTCAGTTCACTATTCCAGCTGTGTATCTAATGGTTGGTATTGTTAATTGCCTTAATGGTATTTCCTCCATTGCGTTTGTACTTTAAGATCTTTTTCACTCTCTTGGATTTCCGGTTTACAGCGCTTTGGGGCAGGCAGGAATCCGCGACTGTGCGCGGTTTCTGCCTGCGCTTGCTGCCCGAGTGCTCCGAGCCATCCAGCTTCGGGCTAGCCACCTCCGTAGAAGGGGGGACCTGGCAGGGTCGAGAGATATCGCACCTCTCTTCCCTAACTGACTAAACCCCCTTTTCCGAAGGCATCTGAGCGGCAGTCAGAAATGGCCGCCACATAGAAGAGCTCAGCCGGAAAAAGAATGTGCAGGAGGAGCTGTGAAGAAGTGAAAGTGTTTTTTGCTGACCAGGATAAAGTAACAGTGAAAGTATCCTGGAACTTAAAATTTGCCAAAGATACATAGTTTCCAGAGCTTTATAAGCAGCGAATGGAAATTAAAAGGAAAAGTTTCTTTTTTTTTCTTTTCACTCTCCTTCCTAACGTGACAGTGAATGGAACTGCAAGAGAAATAGGAAAATCCGCATTGGAGGTAATTAAATGCTAAAGGGATAAGGATTTCTGAATACTTAAAAAAAAATCTTTTTTGCTGTAAGGGAGAGGAAAAAAATTTGGAGCAGAATTTGAAAATAAGGAGGAGATTGCCTAGAATTCTAAAGAGCTATTAAATATTAATAAGACTTCTAAAAGATATATCTTAATTGGAACTTTGTGGCTAAACAGCAACCCCAGGAAGAGAAACAGAAGAAAGACAAAAGTACTAAAAGAAACAGCTTATTTGGATTGTTTGGTGACTTTGGAACTTTTGGGAATTATTTTTGATTAAAAGCACTTGGTGGTTGTCTTGGAAAAACTTTTTCTCTCTACAATGGCATCACTTGTGGATGAATTGAAAATTGAATACAAAAAATACAAAAAAGAAGAACAAGAAGGAAAGATTCTTAGGGCACTCTTTTTCAATTTCTAGAAATGGCGGTTTGTACCTATGAAAAACTGACTGCGCAGCAGGATGACTGGGATAAAGAAGAAGCCATCTTTGATGAACAAGTGACTCTATTTGGGGAAGGAAAGGAGAAAGAGGAAAAGAAAAAGGGGACTTTAAGATTTGAAAAAACAACCAAAAAAGAGAAAAATAAGGTGAAAAGTGGATACATGTTAGAAAACAACAGAAAGGGGGAAAGCAGAAGAGGAAAAGTGAGGTGGAGAGACAAGGGGGTAAAAAGGGCAAGGAGAAGAATAAGCAAGGGAGAAAGGAAGGGATGAGAAGCCTCAATGGTAGGGAGCAAGATGTAAAGAAACAAAATTCATTTAGAGACAATGGGTAAATTTAATTGAAAAAGGGATTCTGTAAAGGTACATAAGATTGTATTTTTATATTTGTATTTAGAAATAATGTTAGAAAATTGGAAACAACATGTAACCAAAAATGGGATAGAACGTTTAGTGTAATTTAGTGAAATCTTTGTGAAGAAAAAGAAGGTAATGAAATAAATGAGAGAATTGAAGTAGGAGAAATGATATAATGATTTAAAATATGTGATGTGGGGGAGAAATAACTATGGAAAGTATAAGTGTTCCCATAAAAGTATGATATTTAATAGAAAAGTAACGTGTAAAATGTTTAAGATATAACTGAATATTAATATTTATGATTAGATTTGTATTGGCATTGATAGTTGTTTTAACTACATCCTATACCTATAAATTTTTTCTTTTTTCTTTTTTTTCTTTTTCTTATAAAATACATTGTGTAATTTTAGAATGTACTAAACAGAATCCCAATGCAAGTTATGTATTATATTAAGTATTATAAATTTAGGGGAAAGAGTTAAAGGCATCATACTCCAATCAGTGTACAGGAGAAGTTTTGTTTAAAGAGAAAAGATAAATGGATAGCTGGAAACAGAACAGACAAAGAATAATAAGTATTATGATTTGAACTGAGATGAGATAAATAAAATAAAACTAAGAAAGTTAAAAGAGGGGAGAAGCTATATAGAAAATTGAAAATGGTAATAAGATATGGAACAGTATATAAAATGAATATGAATTTGAATTTGTGTCTGTATGAAGAGTTGTAACCCGGGATCAAGCAGCTTTCAGAAAAGATGTTTTATGTTTTTATGTTTTATGTTTTGTTTGTTTGTGTATTGTCTTTGAAAATCAATAAAATTGTTATAAATAAGATCTTTTTCACTCTCTTGATATATTCACCTCTTTTTTTTTTCTTGACTTCAGCGTGCTTGATGTTGTCAGCTTGAAAGATACCCAGGTATTTGTAGTAATCATCTTCATCCAGACTCTTAATGTTATTTTCATGGGGCATCTTGATTTCTTCAGTTTTCACTATTTTTCCTTGTTTGATAGTGAGTGTGGCACATTTGTCCAATCCAAACTCCATTGCAATATCTTGGCTATATATATGAACAGTGTTGAGGAACAATTCTATTTCAGATGGTGGTTTTCCATACAGCTTCAGATCATCCATGTAAAGGAAATGGGATAGTCTAGCAGATATTTTTGAAGTTTGATAGCCGTGGCCTGAGTTATTCAGTATTGTTGACAAAGGAAATAATGCAATGACAACTAGAAGTGGTCTAGTGAATCTCCTTGAAATATTCTTCTCTTGATATTAACTTCACCAAATCTCTCATCTTTGACCTGCAACTGTGTCTTCCATTGTGCCATCAATCTTTGCACCAAGCTTCCGATGTTTCTACTGACTCCTGTTATTTCTAGGCACTTGATTATCCAGTGATATGGCAGAAAGTCGAATGCCTTTTTGTAGTCATGCTATGTTCAAGTTGGTCTTCCTTCTCTTGTAGTTTTCCAAAATCGTTTTGTCAATTAGGAGTTGATATTTTGTTCCTCTGCTCTTGGAGCTGTTTCCTTTCCATTCAGGTGAAAAAATATTGTTTTCAACTAGATGCTGTTGGACATTCAACTAGATGCTGCATCAGCTACCACACCAGTTAAGGCACTCTTTGTCTGACTCCTCTGATGAGATCTGTCCAGTATGATTGAAACCCTGGCATAGCCTTCATCTTCCTCAGAGCACACAAGCCCCACAACCACATCAAGGTAGTACCTCATTATTATTATTATTATTATTATTATTATTATTATTATTATTATTATTATTATTATTACTGTTGATGTTGTTTTGTTATTGTTATTAATGCTGATAATGACCCAAGTTAGAAAATTTATAAGAGTAATATAAAAATGAAACCATAATAAGACTTCTTTAATTGCATCTACAAAGAGAAAGGCAATAGACTCCCTTTAATCCTAATCATTGCATGTGATTTACAAGATAAAAATAATCATCAGATATACTGTAGTGTGAGATATTTTCTGTAACATATAAAAAATTAGCCATTACAGAATGCCAAACTGTATATTATCCTGCAATAAATGATTCCTTTTTCACAACAATAAAGCTGGAAATTATTATTCACTGTTTACAGAGCAAATTGGGCATAACATTATAGAAATGGCTAGAGAAATAGAAGCATTAAAATATTTATATGAATGAAAAATAGTTCCACATAATCTCTTATTTAATTTAGTTGCATGAAACACAAAGCCCATTTTTCAGCCACTAGGATTCCTCATAAATTTGCTTATCTCAAAAATGGGAATAATCAACATAACAGTTCAGAACTGATCACTTCTCTTTGATAACTGCTTATCTGTCAAATGAGGAACTCACTAATAGCCAATTTGGTCATTTCCTATTCCTTATATAATGGGTGTTAAACTCAAGGCCTGGAAGGGCAGATCTGGCCCATGGGGTTCTTAGATCTGACCCATGGGCCCCCTTGGAAACCGTGAAGGCCTGCAGTGCCTCTGCCAACAAAAACAGAGCTCAAAAGGGTACAGCATGCTCATTCACTGAAAACTTCATTATAAAAATATCAAATTGCAAAGCCAATAAACAGATTAACAGAATTGGAAGGGATCTTGTAGATCATCTAGTCCAAACCTCCACTCAAGCAGAAGACCCTACCCACACCATTTCTGACAGACCGCAGTCCAGTCTCTTCTTGAAAGCATTCAGTGATGAAGCTCACAACTTCTGAAAGTAAGCTATTCCATTGGTTGATTGCTCTCACTGTCAGAAAATTTCTCATTACTTCCAGATTAAATCTTTCCTTGTTCAGTTTCCATCCATTATTCATTGTCTGGCCTTCAGGTGCTTTGGAAAATAGCTTGACCCCTTCCTCTCTGTGGCAGCCCTTCAAATATTGGAACACTGCTCCTCAAATATTGGAACCTGGTCCTTCTCTTCATTAGACTAGCCATGCCCAGTTCCTGCAACTGTTCATTGAATGTTTTAGCCTCCAGTCCCCTAATCATCTTGTTTGCTCTTCTCTGCATTCTTTCTAGAGCCTCAACATCTTTTTTATAGAGTGGTGACTAAAACTGAATGCAATATTCCAGATGTGGTTTTATGAAGGCTTTATAGAATGCTATTAGTACCTCACGTGAACTTGATTGTATTCCTTTGTTAATGCAATTTAGGATTGCATTGACTTTTTTGGCTGCCACCACACACTGTTGGCTCATATTTAATTGGTTGTCCACTAAGACTCTGATCTCTCTCACAATTACTGCTATTAAGTCTGGTTTCACTCAGTCTGTATATGTACAGGTTTTTCTTGCCTAAATGTAAGACTCTTAATGTCTTAGAACATCTTTGAGAAAAACATATGTTTGAGAAAAACAAATGTTCTCAGTACATGAAGTTATTAAGTAATTGCCCACTGGACAGCAGACAAAGAAAAGTTTTGAATATTATACAAGATTTATGCAGATATTGTGATTATTAACATTATATGATGCAGTAAACTTCCCACAAATTAAATAAAATGCTCCAACAGTGAAGGTTATATGAATTAGTAGTATTTTGTAAGGGCTTGGTTTATTTGCTGTAATTATTTCAGTTAACAATATAATTCATCTTAGTTTTTTGTACAATGAATGCAATCATTTTTAAACTAAAAGTCAAATTTTATCAAAAGGGCTGTTCAGGAAAGAAAAAAAAATGTCCATAGTTCTAAGCAGCATCTTACAACAAAGGAATCTAATCAGTCTTCCAATATCTCAAGACATGGAAACCTATTAATTAAAGATTATCAATAAAAAACCCAGTTCTGCTTCTAAAACAAGACTCTACAATTAAACTATGATCTAATTGCAACTATATTCAGCTTTCCCAAAACTCCATGAGATGTTGTAGACAAGCAAAATTTTCAGAATTGCCTTAATATTATACTTCACACAAGGACAAGTATAGGGGTGGGATTCCAATTTGTAAACAACCAATTCTGTGGGCGTGGCTAGGCGGGCATGGCCATGTGACTGGGTGGCCATGGCTGCTGCTTCTTCTTCTTCTTCTTCTTCTTCTTCTTCTTCTTCTTCTTCTTCTTCTTCTTCTTCTTCTTCTTCTTCTTCTTCTTCTTCTTCTTCT